AAGAACAGGAGGAACACCTGGTATGTGGATGTGAGAAGATTGTACTATTTAAAAGATGCAGTAAAGTGGTCTTATTTATTGGAATCTAGCTAAGAATTACATCTTACCAGCAACCCAGTCACAATGTGGAAGAAAAGAACAGAAAGGTTTTTGAATCCCATGGGACCTACACATACAAACCAATCACAATTTATTCCACAATAAGCCAGTTATGACTGGTTACAAAAAACCAAGTGTGGATAATTGACAGCACAGTAGCTGGTGATAGAAGGGTCAGTGAGAAAGAAAAAGCAGAGAAATCTAAAGCGATAGCAAGCAAATGTGGATAAGAAAGTTGTAATTATGCCAATAGTGGCTTGTGTGCTAGATACCATACTAAAAGATCTGTAAAAAAATATTTGGACACAATAGAAATGAGCAGGATCCAAGAAGAACTATCTGGCAGACTGTATGCAGACAACAACACTCTAAAACAACCAAAGCACTCCATGAGCATTTAAAAAAATACATTGAAGGGCAGTTGGACAATACCAAATTATGGCAGTGGCTTAGGAATGGTATATTAAAAGCCAAAATAGAGGGGTGCTTTCTTATTGTGGCACCAGATGCAGTACCACAAAGACTTAGAAATTGATTTATCTAAATTTGGAACAATTTAAAATAGCCCAAGTGCAAATAGGGGAGCTGTGGAGTTCATAAATAATTAGATGCTACCAATGCAATTCCCAAGTTTCTGGATAGAGCTCAAATGACGAATACATCTGATCAACATTGGCCATGACACATGATTAGTGATATTGGAATTATACAACAATAATAAAATCTGTAGATCTGTAGTGTGTGACTAGATAAATCTGTCCCCTTTTTTGAGAGTTGGAGAAAAATACCCACTTTACGATTTAAAGATCAATTTTATTAAATATAAGAAAAAGGAAAATGTAAACCTTAATGATTAAAGTTATAAATCAAGATTATCATTAAAAATTAATGATAAATGAGATTATAGTGCTGACATTATATACTGCTGCTCCAAAGTTCTGTAATAGACTCACAAGAAAATTATAATATTGTGGACAAATTCCTGGATAATATAGATGTGTCAGAAAGGAAAGGGTAATTCTGTGCACCAAAATCCTGAATTAACCAAATAGCATGAGATTGAATAGAAGCCATGGGTATTGGCCGGTAAAGCTGAGTAAAATACACAGTAACTAAAAATAACCTTAGTAGAGTTAGCTACACATCTGTATTTACCTAACCAACAAAAACTTCTGATTCCATTTTACCTTGTTTTGTATTCTGGAAATTTCCAGTTTTAATTCGGTGCTGAAGGAAATATATTTTTCATATTTTCCTTTTTTGATCCCAATATATGCTTGATTATTTTGTTTTATTTATCATTATCACATTTTATAAAAAAAGTAAAACAAGGTTTTTGAAGATTTTTTTAAAAAAAGAAAAGCACCCTGTGAACTTTATTTGCGTTTCAGATTCATTTTAAGACATATATATCTATTTGTTGCTTATGCTTCATGGAAAAAAACATTTAAAAAATCTGAGCAAAAGCATTTGGAGAGAAGAAGTAAGGAATTTATGAGTACATGTATAAACCAATTTACACCTGAAACATAGAAAGCTTTTGTATCTGCTCAGTTGGAACTTAATTCCTTTTATGGACTTCATCCAGGTGGGAAATGTGCAATCAAGAAACATGAACGATGATTGATGATAGATAGATAGATAGATAGACAGACAGACAGACAGACAGACAGACAGACAGACAGACAGAAGAATTATATAAGACAAGACTATTGAGAGAGAGTAAGAGGAAAGACATTTCTACTAAGGATGCTCAGGACAAAATATATAATTAATTAAAAATATTCTCAACATAACAAAGAAAAAGTTACTGAGAGAGGTATTAATCATTTTAACTACTATAGTTCTTCCAAAGTTTACATATCACTAGTTAATTATCTGGCTGCACTTTTATATGTATGAGAATTAACACCTATTAAGGTATGAAAAAAAGAAAATTCCTACTCCAACTTAGTAATATAGCATACATAATGAAGGAGGGTGGGTTCTTCTTCATTGTTGGAAAGTTATAATGAAACTTGCTTGAATAAAGTTTCTTTTACTTTCCTTTATCCAGATAATATGACAGTGGTTTTGAAGCCTGGTAAAGGTTTGGCTGATTATACAAATTACTGCTTGATTCCTTAATAAACATTGATACTAAAATGTTGACAGCAACCCTGTTATATAGACCAGGGGTCCCAAACCCCCACTATCAGGCCTTGAGCCTTTTGGAACTGGGCCGTGGAAGCGCCAGGTGAGTGCACGTGTGCATTCCCACTCGTGGGAGCACCCAGCAAGTGCATGCATGCACTCTCCATTTACATGAGCAGTGCATGGAACCATCCCCTCTCCCTCCCTGGTGGTGTGCAAAGCCAAAAAGATTGGGGAACTCTGATATGAGCCGTGGTGACACAATGGTTAGAATGCAGTACTGCAGGCTACTTCTGCTGACTGCCAGCTGCCTGCAATTTGGCAGTTCAAATCTCACCAGGCTCAAGGTTGACTCAGCCTTCCATCCTTCCAAGGTGGGTAAAATGTGGAGCCAGATTGTTGGGGGCAAATGCTGACTCTGTAAACCACTTAGAGAGGTCTATAAAGCACTATAAAGTGATATATAAGTCTAAGTGCTATTTCTATATAGACTAAAGACATTTAGATGTAACAAATAAATGTCTTCCTAAATAGTTAAATTGAAGGTTTGATGTACTTTTATTTTAATTCCTGCAGTCTAGTTTCAGAAAAGGCCAATAAGCCTTTATCTATTATTAATTGATATCTTATGCATAATATTACTTTAAAAAAATAGAATTGGCAATTTTCTCATTAGGTGAAGAAAAGAGTTGTTGAAATTTTGAGTCAAGATTTGGCCAAACATGGATTTCCTTCTTTTCATTTGTTGGATTTATACAAAGACCAGGATCATTACAGATGGGACTATTTCTTTACCTGTCAAGATGTTTGATGTAACTCATCAAGTGTGACCTCTCCTCGTTTGTTAGGCAGTCAAAGGATATTCTGGCCATAAAAATGGCTGGAGTTGAACAAATTATTTTTATATATTGATAATATATTATGTCTTATTGGAAATTGTGAATATTTTGTGGCAAAATTTATTGGTATTATGCCATAGTTTGGTAAATTATTAGGTATTTCAGTTAATTGGAGTAAGTCTTTAAAATTTGCCATAGGCTGTAATTTATTTGTGAAAATCTGTAAAAAATGGGAGTTTGTTCTTTGAATTCTAGAATTGTTTAAATATCTTGGAATTTAAATATCTTGGAATAATTATTGTAAGAACGGCCTTTTCATTTCTGGACAAATATTTCAACCTGTTTTCCCCAGTTTTATATTTATATAAACGGATAGATAATAGAGAGAGAGATATATTTCCTATTCGTTATAAGGAAAGAAAAATGTTGTAATAATTAATATTATTCTAAAATTCTTAGAAGGAATTCCTTGCTAATACTTTTAAGGAACTTGAAGCAGGTTTGGTGAGTTTTGAAGAATGCTTTCAATAAGAACAACACTCCCCTAGTTTCTTTATCTAAATTATGGTTTAGATAGGGATTTTAACTTTCCTGATTTTCAACTCTACCATTGATTACATTATTCTTATAACAGATTTACATTTTGGGATAATCCCAGTCTGAATGTGTTTGGGTTAATAGAGGAACTGACATATTAAATCAGTTTACAAATATCCCAGTTTGGCCTTGCGTTGCACTTTCTCATTTGAGACTGGAGTACAGTTTGGAAGTCAAAGAGCAGGTTGCAGATATGGCTAGGAGGGCCTTTGCACAGATCCATCTGGTGTGCCAGTTGTGCCTGTTCCCAGATTGGGAGGCCCTTCAGGCAGTCACTCAGGCTCTAATCACTTCACAATTGGACACTGGGACTCTCTCTTTTCAAGGAGGCTGTCCTTGAAGACGACCCCTTGGAAGCAACTTTTCAATAGAAAATGCACATTAAGTGGGTAAAATTAAGCATTCCTTTGTGCTTAAAGTATTCCATAATTAAATCACATTGGCACAGATTACATGCTAGCAAATTAGGTTTCCACTTTGCAAATATACATTCCTGTATATATATATATATTTTATAATGCTGACTTCTAATAGCTTTTATGCCTCTTATTTGATATTGTAGCCTCTCATATTCAAAGCCCTGCTGCACTCATGCTACAGAGCCAAAATGAGGGTGGCGATTATTTACTATTTTTCCCCTTTGCAAGTAACGGGAGGGAAATTAGGTTTGTTATAAATACGTATTCCTATGTTGGAAGTGTCATTGATGAATAGGAGACCTTTGGATTCCACAGATCCAAAGTTTTCCTCAATTGAGTGTGGTCTCCAATGTTCCTCATTTTCCCCTTTTCTGATGTTGGAATTTCATTGGGGGGGGGGGAGTTTTGCTGAAGCTTTTAAACAGTCAGTCTGGAAGAGGGGAATCCAATGCTAGCGTTCCCCCCGCCCCGGAAATCCAAGCCTCACCCATTCTTAGAAGAGGAAATCTTCTGAATATCCTATGACTCCCAGTAACATAGTCATAGGAGGTGCACTCTGACATTCTTCAAGAAACTCAGTGCCATAGTGTTGGATCTCTGGGGCAAATACTGTACATCCTGTTCTGTATTTTTCTAGTAATGTATATGGTTTTGATTCTGTATAATTGCCAAGCTTGAGATTTAAAGGTGACAAGTATTTTATTTGTTTGGGGGGGTGTACTTCATTTTCTGGGAGGGGATTGACAAAACTCTTGTAGTTAGATTTTTGTCTCATCAGTAAAGTATATTGTGTTCCCTATACTGCACTTAAGTCAGAAAATAATCTTTTCAGCAGCGCTGTCAGCAAGACGTGAGGATGTACCTCATATATATATATAGTGTTCAACTCGGTTTATTAATTCCATTCTTATAGGTTACTGCACTTAAGAATGAACATTGAAGATAAGCTAGGAGGATTGTTTCTTAAATGTGGTAGCATAGAACAGATGCAGTCATCGAGGGATATGGTTGGAATGGGTGCCACCTCTAATCAGTCAGCAATTTCTGTGGAACGGCAAGAGGCAGTGCTTCAAGACCGGGCTATGGCACGTCAAGAAATTCTTTCTGCAGATGAAGTTTTACAAGAAAGTGAACTCCGGCCGCAAGAAATGATCCCACATGATGAACTTATGGTTCATGAAGAGACGGTGAAAAATGATGATGACATGGAGGGACAAGACAGACTTCCTCAAGGGCTTCATTACGCAGTTAATGTTCCTGTAAGTATTTTCTTTCTCTAATTTTGCCTGCAGCGATTATGTAGAGATTGAGTCAAAGTGTGAGCAAAAGGTAATCATGAGAAAAAGGCAGTGGTTTGTGGGTATCTTATTTCTTTAATCAATGATTGATTTGGTTTGAAGACAAACCAAAGTGGGAGGAAACATATTTTTAAAAGGTTGTTCTAAGATAACTTCATCCAGTTTTTCTAGTTGTGTGCATCTTGGTACTATATATTTGTTACTAAAGGCCTTTCTAGCCTCTTCTCTGTGGTCTAAAGAGAGTAATGGTTCTTAAAATTACTGATGGGATTATGACACTAAAAAAGTGTTTTCCTCTATTAACACTATAAACACCCTCCTCCTCCAGAATTGCAGGTTTATTTTCTTGTTCATTCTGGAATTCTTAGAAAAGTTCCAGCCCTTAAGCAAATGAATAGATGAGTGCGATTGGAGGAGAGTGGGCAGGAAGACACTGATAAGGACTGAAGGGAGGCAGAAGAGCCAACAAACATGGCAATTAAAGTGAGGGATTGAGAATGTAGTAGAAAACATGGGGGTAATAAGCTGCACTGAAAATTCTGCTGGGACACTGTAGTTTTTGCATATATACAAGGTGACTTTGATCCTGAATGAAAGACAAAGATATCTGATATGAGCATTTTACAAGCACAAATTTGCTTTTAAAGCCAAACTATTTGACTAATGTTGATGAAATTTACAAAAACTTTATCATGGGATTTATCCATGATTGTGAGTTATTTTTATATCTGTTTTTACAAAATTTCTACTGAAGATAAACTTTAAAGAATATTGTAGGGTTCTGAGATGATTTTACACAGTAAAATTCACTTCTTGATTCATGTCAGATCTAAAGTTTATTCAAATTAGGTATGGATTTTCATTCACCATATAAAAATTATATGTGTAGGCAAACATGTTCATTTCAGATAGTTCAAGACTTGAGAAATCTTGATTCTGAAAATATGAAACAAAAATTCAATTTTGTTAATTATAATTGAAGAATTTCTGAGCTTGAGAATTAGCAACTACAGATGGTCCTCATTGACTGATCAACAAATAGAACCAGCAACTTGATCATTAAGCAAAGTGGTCACTAAGTAGAAAATCACATGAGTGTGAATGTGCTTATGATTTTACTTCAGCTTTCTTTTGGTTTACTGTGTCAGAAGGCTACAACCCTAAACAGCCAGCTTAGCCAAACAGTGGGTAAGGTTTCCAGAACTCTACTCTTAGAGCAGGGGTCCCCAAGGGCCTGTTCGAAAGCGGGCTGTGGGAGAAATTGAACAAGCATGTGCAGGTGAAACTCCACTTGCACAAGTGGCAGGCAAGTACGCGCCCGAAGCTCCACAAGCGGAGGCTGCTTGTGCTTGTGGGTGAAGCTCCAAACGAATGGAGCTTTGCGTGTGAGCACAAGCATCTGCTGCTCGCATGTGAACCTCCATTTGTGTGACCGAAGGGCATGCGCGTTCACCTGCCATTCACATGCCTCCCCCCCAGGACTGGGCCACCAAGCTGGAAAGGTTAGGGACCACTGTTTTAGAGTCCTTTCCTCCCCTCTCCCGCTCCCTTTGGAATATTCACTCTTTGGCTGGGATAATCAGCAAGAAGGGAAGTAGTGTTTGTATATTCATTGGAAAAGAAAGGATTATAAGAAAATAAGCAGATACACAATGGGAAATACGCTTGTGCCAGCTGTTTGCCTAGCATACTGACTGCTCTTAGCGTGAGCTACTTAGGAAGCAAACAAAAGTCAAAGTTGTGAAAATGATTAAAGTCTTGTCAGTTACAGGCAGCAGCTATTAAGCCTGCTGATTAAGTTCACAGAGCTGAGCTTGTTAACCTGCCTTAGAACTTTTTAGGGAGCAGTTATACCATGAAAAAACTTGGTTGAGGAACAACTAGCTTGCTTAGGCAACTCTGCTGGAGGGGGGGAGAGTAAAAAATGGATCAAGAATAGGGCAGCATATACTAACCGACTGTAGTGGCAAACACATGACTGAGAGAGAGGGAAAGACACTGGAAAGGTTTTAAATATGGGCATTGGTCACAGAATTACTTCTTTTTATCACAGTTGTAATATCAAACGGTCACTACCCAAGGCAGTTGCTAAGCAAGGTCTGCTTGTATGTTTTACGGTAATTCATTATGTATGTTGTCAGATTTTGCCTTTTGATCTTACAATTGAAGGTTCTGTTAAAAATCTTGGGAAGGGAAATGAGATATAGAACATAAAACATGAGAATTTTATTATAAACACTTAGGTAGAACAAAGCCATATGTCTAAATCTTAATGCCAAACTGAACACATTTGTGTCTTACTTATCTGTGGGAAATAACCTGTTTTGACTTTAACACCTGCTTTGAATGTAAGTTGTCTTTTCAAGAAAACATTAAAGAATTATAGTAATTGCTATTCTGTAGGAAAAATAACATTAATTTCAGTCAAAAACATCCTGGAACTTCACGTTCTTTTGAGAATTATATAGTAACTCTGAGAAATAGCAATCAAAAATTTAGATTAGAAATACAACGGTATGACCTAGGTACCAATTTAATTACTGCCTTTTTGAGCAATGAGCCAATTTCTCAGCTCAAGTTTCCACTGCAAAATTGGCATTCCTGCATATTGTGACTAAGACAGCAAATGTCAGGTCCTAGTTGACTCAATCTGAACTTGTAAAGCTAAACATGGAATTGGTTAATAGTTGAGAAATAGACAGACTATCCGGGAATCCCAAGGCTTCATAAGGCTGAGAAGTAATAAACATGTAAGAGAAAGTCTGTGGTAATGACCTCAATATTGTTGCCAAGAAAATAGGATGGATGTGTCCATGTAATCATGTCCATCTGGCATCAGAAGTTGAGCTTAATTTGAGGGAGAATTTATTTTTTGTATTGTCATGAATAAGAAATTAAAAATGGTTTATCTGTTTTAAATGTTTAAGTAAATCTCCTGTTTAACAGACTTTAACGTAATGGGCATCAGGTGCAGTGGACAAAATTTTCATTGTATTTGTTTCATTTACATAATTTAAATAATATCATTACTGAAATCTGCATAATTTTTGTAATTATATCACAACTGATGACATCCTATCTGATTTAATGCAGTTGGCAGTAATAAACATGGCCTCTCTATATTTGTTCCAATAAATCAAGGTTTTATTTGTATGTATAGCACATAATTCAAATATAACTGTGTATATATATATATATATATAACAAGAGAGCAAGATCAGTAGACCATTCAATAAATGTTCCCCCTCCCCTCAAATCCACCATAATAAAAAAGCACAGAGCCCTTGCAAATGAATTTGCCATTATTTCTTAGAATATGCTACAATTGCTATTTTAGCAGATCAGTGTGAAACAAGAAATTACATTTACTGATGTGGCTGAGCAGCAGAAACGGGACAAAAAGTTAATGCGAGAAGGCATAGATATGCAAAAGAAGAAGAAAAGAAAGCAGCGTTCTCCAGCAAAGGTAAGACAATTAATTAAAGACCTGGTAATTAAAGGGCACGGTGATTTACCATGGAATCCATCCATTCCATTGGAAATACTATCTGCCAGTAATAGATTCACCTAGCAACAGTTCTAAAGCAAAGATATTCATGGCATGTTTCTTTGAACTTCTTTTCACAGCATAAACCTTTAGTGTGTACTTTAGCATCTCAGGAAAGCCCTTCTCTAAATATTTTTTCTATAATTGTGCTGTACAAAGACCATTTAGCAAAGAATACTTAGATGAATAAAACAGCTTTAATAAGGGCTTAGTATTGAGGCAAATTAAATAACACTAGATTTTATGAACTTTATTTTTACCCATAAAATGCATTAGTGCTGAAAGTAATCATTGTGTGTATCTGAAATGAAATAATTACCTTACAGTGAAAAAGTGATAATCATAGCTGTAATAATTTGAAAGAAATTGTGTTGATCTGAACCTTATTATTTAAGGTTTTACATCTTGCATTTTCTTCCATTAACTGTGTCAAAAATGTGTAAGATCTTGGGAATGAAACTCGTATTTTAAAATTCAGACTCCCTGTTACATTGTGTGGCCATTTGCAAATGTGAACTCCAATTATTTGTCCTCGTTAATTTCCACTCAGCAGTATGTCCTAAGTGGCAAGTTTCATACTGTGAGGTTTAAGCTTGAGAATGTCAAATGTTGTCTCTGTTGAAAATAATCACTGTTGAAAATATTTCCCCTGTTTAATTCAGTTTCTTTCATTAAGTGTATGCAGAACCATTTGAACATTTCACATAGCTGTTTCATTCATAATCTGAAAACACTAAAAGAACCATGTTCTCCATTTTCATTGCCCGTCAGATTTTTTCTTATATAAATTAGGTTTCAAAATTGCCTGCAAAAAGTAGCATCTGAGTCCTACTTAAACAATGACTTTGAAAATTATAATTTAACCTAATTAGAGCATGACAGTAAATATGCCTTCTGCCATGTTTCATATATGTAGTTAGGGATTAAGAGTCCCCAGCTGTAGATTTGTGTTTTTAAAACAGCAGAGAAATTTCAGCACTTTTAGCTGAAAGTGCATAGCAATGATACTAAAGACAAAATTCATGGTTCACACAGAAGATTAAAGATAGCATGGACTGAAGTAGTTCGTCTAGCTGCTTCTGCCAGGCAGAGAAGCCCGGCTGAAGCTGTCGGGCAGCATACCACTTATGCATGAACATGTAATTAAGACTAAAAATGTTCCTTTGGGAGAAATCTTACAATTTCACTAACAATCTGCACGCAAAAGGACCAAATTACACACTATGATATCATTATGGCTATCCCAAAAACAAAGTAAAACAAAAACGACAACTTCGCAGTTGGTGGGTATTTGTAAGCAAAAAGTTTGTAAGTTGTAAGCAAACACCCCCTTTATAGCTTATTTTGCTGCTTGTTTTTCTTAGGTCTCCCAGAAAGTCATTTAAAGTTGTTGCAGGATGCCAGTGTTAAGAGGGGGAAAAATGTTTACAGCAGCAATAGTATCAACATGTTTCTAGCTGTCCTACTTCATTATTTACAAGAAATCATAGGGCTGGAAGGGACTTCTGGGGTCTTCTAATTGACCCCCTGCCTAAGGCAAGGGTCCTTATACCATCCCAGACAATAGTTGTCCATTTTTTTTCTAGAAATCCTCCAACAGTGGAACTTCAAGAGGCAAGCTGTTCGCCTATATTGCAAACACTGAAAAAAAAATCAAATTATTAATATCACCGAAGGAAATAATTGCAGTTCACCCACCTTTATAAACTCCCTATTTTGCATTGTGGCTTGATACTAAAGTGCTTAATATCCCCCTTCTGAATATGAATTTTTATTGAGTATAATTATTCAGAAATTAATGTGAGACTGAATTTTGCCGTTTTAAAAATAGATCCTTACAATAAATGAGGATGGATCACTTGGTCTGAAAACTACCAAATCTCACATTTGTGAGCATTGTAATGCTGCCTTTAGAACCAACTACCATTTACAAAGACATGTCTTCATTCATACAGGTACTGCTTGAATTTAAATTGTTTCTTTTATTATCAATCTGAAACAATTGACTGAATAATGAATATAAAGTGATGTATATTTTAGATTCCTAAGTGCAGAACATCTGGCATCTAAGCTTACGTATTTCATGCACCAAGGTGTCAAAAAATACCAGAAAAAATTAGTGTCTTTACAGTTAACGTAAGATAAATTGTGTTGCTCTTACACAGAGATACTATGTATTTACAAGTAGCATATTTTAGTTTGTTTATAAAATAGATTCTGGTTTCTTCCTTGGCCAATGAAGGTTTTAAATATATATTATGTAGTGTCTCAGGAGCACTATTTTATTCCAGAGAGTTTATGTAGCCTTTTTAAATTAAAACATTTTGGGAGCTCACAGTTGCTGGCTTCCAATAGTTTACTGTTTCATTTCACAAGAGAGTATTTAAAAATGAATGTATGTAGCTTTTAACTTACAGATGTGGAATTATATTGTTTAAGGTGAAAAACCATTTCAGTGCAATCAGTGCGAGATGCGTTTCATACAGAAGTACCTTCTACAGAGACATGAGAAGATTCATACTGGTGAGTATCTTTGAGCCTTGAGTATCTTTGCTGATATTTTAAAATTTTGTTCTCCAAATCATGGCCAAGTTTGGGGTGATTTAGGCAGCTTTATTTTAATATATGAAAGAAGTGGTGAAGTGCTGATAATTGATACAAACACTGCTTGCAAAATGTTTGCTGTTGGATAAATGATAAAAAGAAATATTCCAAAATTATTAAAGCCCAAATGCCTGTTGTATAAATGTTTGCACCTTCCTTTTATAAACTTTCATATGGAAAATTAAAATTGAAGTAGAGATTTAGCAAAAGATAATAGAAGAAAAAAGATTCAAAATTAGACAGTTCTACTGCATTTGTGCCTTAAAAATCTACTTGAGGAAAACCACATTTTCTAAACAGCTTTGACTTTAGACTTTAGGTTTTTGGCATTTTGGTGCATGCCTTTTCATTGCTTCCATAAATATTTAGGAGTACAGTCCCCTTGGACTTCTAGATGCCAATTTTCAGATTCCTTTTCTGAAAAGTAGAACTTGCACATAAGCTAAATGTTGCTTGGTGAGATATTTCGTATTTGTAAAATTACTAATGCTTAGCAATTTTTATTCTATATGTAAGCTTTGAGAAATGCAATAGCATTTTTTTCCACAGTGAACTTGCCTGCACAAATCTTGGAATGCTTGCATCTCAGTTTTAACAGTATTTGGATTTGTGGTTTGACATCTTGACTCCTCTGTTTTTTCCAAGCTATGCTTAATTTTTATCTTTTCCCCCCTGGCTTTCTTCTGCTGCTGTTCTTCAATATTGTTGATATCTACTTAGTTAAACAATTTAGTATAAGTATGTAAACATATAGTTTATTTTCAAAAACTAATTTTGCACTCTAGGGATGTGTCAGCATTCTGCACAGTGAATTGAAATGATTAGCATGTACAGTATGTTTGGTATAAAAAATACTTCTCCTCCAAAAGATTTCCAACATTTACAAAGAGGAAAGATTGCCTAAATGTATTCTTAGATGTCACTTGTAAAAATACTTCAGATTCACTCAGATTGATTATTCATATTATTTTAAAATATGCATAAACCGGCTTAATATGTGCAGTTTATTAGAATATACACTTTTCTAATTTATGAAGATGTGACTCCTATGTTACTTAGAAGAGATGATGACATGAAAGGAGTAGGTTCCAAATAGAATGGATTTGTAATCTGTTTGTGACAGGGCAATTATCATTGGGAAAGCCAGCTAAGAAATTACAAACAAGCTCCAATAAACCTGTAATTCCATTGTATTAGTTTATATTAGTACATGGCATGATTGAAACTTGCAGTGTTTCTCCTCTAAGATAAATAATAGCCGAGCTATATATAGCTTCAAACTTGATTTCCAGAACATGTTTCAGAATGTGCGGGAAAGCAAATATACTAAAATAGAGCCACCCTTTCCTAGGATTTTGCAGCTGCTCTGGTAGTGAGACAGTAGCAACATTCATGCTTTCATGCACTCCAGAGCATCCTTTGGAAGCAGAATCCAAAGTGCTACCCAGAATGATAATAAAAATTAGCTATAGGAAGCTTCGATCAGAAACGAAGAAGGAAGTGACATTTCCTTTTCCCTGTTGATCATTTTTTCACCTCCCAAAATAGAATCTTGACAGTATTACTTTTCTTGTAAAGGAGAAAAAAGCTGGTGATCAGTACCCGTAAGGTTCTTTTAAATGGGGGAGGATAGATGCTATATTTGCTGCATGTTTTTCTTTCTTAAGTCTTTTCTTTAAGTCTTACTTAAAGCCAACAACAGCTGCTTTTTAAACAAATAAATAAACAAACGCTAAAATCCCAAAGTATGCAATTTGTATAATTGCTGTAGCCGTATTAGGACCATATAAGTGCTATATATAATATCAGATGATCCGTAAACTGTGTAGCAAAAATTATCTAAATTCTTTTCCGGTGCTCCCTTGCAAATGTATTTGACCAGGAAGAACTGGAATGTATAAGCTGTAACTTTCTGTGTGTGAAATTCTGCTTCAATGTTTTAGTTACATTTAATTTAGATTTCAAGGGCTTTGTCACTGAAATTCAGCACACAATTAAAATGCATTTGATATTTAGAAATCGTTTTGTTCTCTGAAGAAGTTTCGGTTTTGCTTCTCCTTTTATACGCAGGAAATTCGCTACAAGTAGTCCTTGACTTATCGCCACAATTAAGCCCCAAATTTCCATTGCTAAGCAAGATAGAAGTTACATGAATTTTGCCTCCTTTTATGTCCTTTGTTGCCACAATGGTTAAGTGAATCACTGCAGTTGTTAAGTTAGTAACACAGTTGTTAAGTGAATCTGGCTTCTCCATTGACTTTGCTTGTCAGGTCGCCAAAGAATCCCAGGACATTGCAACAGTCATAAATACCTATCAGTTGCCAAGCATGTGAATTTCGATCACATGACCACAGGGTTGTTACAATGGCCACAAGGCCCTTTTTGTAATTTCAAACAGTCACTAAATGAATGGTTGTAAGTCAAGGATTACCTGTATTGCCTTTTAAATTGTTTTAAAGAAATAATTTTCCACTTTCATTTTCTTTCCTCTAACAGGGTAACATAGATCCCAAATTTTAGCTGAGGTACAAATAGTAGTCTAGTGTTTCTAATTACCTTAACCACACACATGAACAGGAATAAACTGTACTGAATTTCAGGCTGATAAACTCCAACTGTCCTATATTCCTCCGATAGCAGTGGTCTCTTAACCTTTTTGGCACCAGGGACTGGTTTTGTGGACAATTTTTCCACAGAGCAGGGGGAGATAGTTTTGGTTTTGCTTGCTCATTTGCTGCTCACGTCCAGCTGTGCTGCCCAGTTCCTAACAGGCCACAGACCAGTAGTGGTCCATGGCCAGTGGGTTGAGACTTCTACCCTGTAATATAGTTCCCAGAATATTTTGAAGCACTATACCTATATACAAAATCTCAATTGTGCATTGTGACTCTTCTTAATCTGGAAGATCGGTTTGATAACTGAATTCTTGACCACATGTAGTCTGTGTGTTCAGGGAGTGACTTCGGCAAGGGGTACATTTGCTCCTTGTAGGACTTCATTGTACCTTTCCCAAGCTGGTGTCATGTAATTCATATACCAGTTATGTAAACACAACCACACCTACCGTCATTTACTGATGATTTCTCTTGAAGCTTTACATTATAATGTATACATTACAGTCACACATTGTAATAGGCTGTTAAATGAACTGGGTTGCAAAAATCCAGGGGACAACTGGATGTCAACAAGTAGGGTTTATTGTATCTTTATTGCTGCTATCTAGTGATTGACAAGATTTTGGTGACCTAAATATGATATGATCATTCCATTGTGAATTTTTTAATGCTTGGGTCAGTGGGACTTTATTAAAGAAAAGTGTTGTCACCAAAATTAACAGTAAATCTAACAAAATCTCAGTATCCTGTATGGTATTGTGGCAAAGGCAAGGAATTGATCCCACTGTTAGAGACCCACCATTCTAGTTGGGCAGGGAAATAATATTTACAGTGGAACCTCGGGTCACGACTGTTCCAGGACTTTGGTTGCAACCCGATTTGGTCATGAACAGAAGCGAGACTGCGCATGTGCCTACAGTTCTGCTCGTGCGCAGAAGGGAAAATCACTGCAGCTGTACTGTTCGGCACCTGAGGATCTGTTCGTAAGCAAAAGCAACAATTTCCCCAAATTTTGGGCTGACACCGGATTTGGTCGTGAAGAAGTGTTCGTGACTCAAGGTTCCACTGTATTTTTATTTATTTATCTCACCCTTATTATTTTTATAAGTAACTCAAGTGGCAAACACACATCATACTACTTCTTCCTCCTATTTTCTTCACAACAACCCCGTAAAGTGAATTGGTGTGAGTTGGCCCAAAGCCAGCTTTCAAGTCAAAAGTGGGACTAGAACTCACCGCCTCCCAGCATCTGGCCTGATGCCTTAATCACTAGACCAAACTGGCCTAATTAAAAATTGCTTACTTTCCATGTACCAAGTTGAAATACGATAGCCATATTTAGATTTTGTATGCTTCGCTGATGGTTTTCTTTTCCACATAATAAGCACCCAGTGGCCTGTCTCTCAGAGCACATTTCCTTTAAATTCATCAACCAAAACCTGCACAGTTCAGCAGCTTTCAGCTGCTCTCCACTTTTTCTTTTGCTTCTGATTTCCAAGCTGAATCACTTTCCAGATCTGTTCTTCATGCTTCATCTTCCTGAAACTCTTAGGTCCTGAGTTCTATTGCCTGTTTGAGATTTTCATGAAAGTGTACAGTACTGAGTCCAGATTTCTTAATATCATATGACTACCACCTCCCCAATTTAAGGTTGCTTTTGGAGGGGAAGACTTATCCTTTTCCTTCTTTTGGCTTCTTTTAGTCACAAACAACTCCTTTGTCGCATATCTTTTCCTTCTAAAGCCCTGGCCAGAACCTTTAACTGATCATATTTGTCATTGACCTTGAAATTACTAATGCTAATTCCTTGACCAATCCACATGGTTCTGTTGGAAGAAAAATCCATTTGGTTCAGTTCCAAGCTGGGAGAAAAAAGCTGGAAACAACACGGAGGCTGATTGGAAAGATGGTTTATTGAACAGCACCACAAAGACAGTGGGCAGTTCTGGGTCAGCTGAACAAATGGTTGAATGAGTGGATGAATCTTTATAGCTTTCTGTGATTTTGAAGTAACTGTTCTGGGGGTGCTTGTGTTCTGAAAGGGTGCTAGACAATTCCTATTGTGGCTAATGGCTTTCGTCCTGTGTTGGTGAGGAGTTATTTTCTAATCCTATCATTCTGCCTTTCTTAGCTGTGCTGCAAGGAGTTTCAAAATATCCTGTCTCGAATGGATTTCTGCCTGCAGTATTTGCTTTGCTTATGAATAGAGCCATCTTGATAGTTGTCTTCCTCTTTCAATAAGCTATTTATCTCTTAAATGCTGGCATCTGCTGTGGGCTATTAAGAAAGACTTGGGGCTGCTTTCTGCCTCTACAACATGTTTCTCCATTTCCCCTTTAGGGAAATATAATATTCTGCCTTTTTAATATATCCCAAAATATTTTATGCTTCTGAGGTGTGTGAGTATGCTTCCCACAGTTCCTTTAAGGTACATCTTGAAATTGCCTTTTCCTAGCAAGGCAGTTATGGTCTTCTGTCCAATACAGAAGAACACAACTACCTCTCTGGCACATTTGGCAATAACATAACTTCACTCCCAAGTGTCTCACGGAAAAGAATGATTGCAGTATACAAACCAGAATAAATACTGTTTTTCTTCATAATCTCAGATTAAGGTTAATGAGACTACATTACTAATATATCTAAATGGAATGTGGCCTGATTCATATATCATGAAGCCTTTATGATTTCTAAACTATGGTTTATGATATTTATAATTTATAATGTCAAAGGTTTTCTTAATTTTATGTACGAATCTGATTATTCCTCTGCAGAGGTCAATTGGCAATTTGCAATACAATACAATCCTTAGAACGTTGTGTAGCTGCATCCAGATGTGGCGCATTCTATAAACCATGGTTAAAACAGTTTAGGAAAGGAGCAGAATCTGAGATTCAAGTGCTGCATATGTTCCCTGAAAACCTTGAATGCAGAGCCTTTCACTGTAACAGAAGGAAGAAATGATCAAATGAATATGCAATTAGGGAGTAATTACATTAATGATGCATAATTTTAATTGCATGTAAACAAAATACTGGTAGAATCTGAATGGGGATGGCAACAGATAAATGTAATTAATAACTACAGTTTGTTTTTGATCTGAACTTACTGCTTTTTAGCTTGCTGCTCTTGTATGCCAAAAGTATACAAATATGGCTTTAGGACTAGAAAACAGAGTTTGCCAGAGAAAATTGCAGCACAAATGGACTGAAATTCTCAATTAGTTTTAAATCAGCGAGATTGAATTGGTTTAATTCCAAATATTTATTACAATGTAAAGGTTTAAACTAAACCAAAATAACACATCCTATGGAAAGGAAAACAATAGATTAAAAAAGGAAATGAAAAGTATAAGTATTGGGGAGAAGATAATACTAAGTAGTCCTTTAAAATAACAGGAGAAGTGGTGTTAGGCTTCCTAAATAATTCACTTTTGGTGGCAAAATAAAACCCTTGTCTGGGATGTTTTAAAAAGGAGCATGTGAAGGGAGTAGCACTTTTCTAAAAAAAATCTCCAGTAGTGCCAAGACTAAAGGCTAATCAGTAAGTCTTTTGTTAACATAGAATTTTAGCAGTTGTTTAATATTTTTACATATTCTGTTATCTGAGTATTGCCACCATTATTATCTACTAATTTGTTACTGGATTTATCTTTACAGATATGTTTTCCAAAGTCCTTATTCCATGCCATATGAACAAAAATGAGAATTATCTTGCAACTTCTTATCATGAATAAATTTTATTTTTATAAGTGATTATATCCCCAAACTTCACATTGCTCACCATGTCCTACATATCTAACAGAATCATCCACCCTAGAATCACCAGTAGTATACTTTACTATTTTAACAAGTGTTATTCACTGTAGAATAGTACGCTGCCTATGAACGTGTAGAAGCTCATGGTCAAGAGTAGCAGTGTCAGCCACACAGGTATTGCATAAAAGGTAACTCCATGACGTAAGCTATGGTTTTATAGTCGATCACCACATATACTTTGACGTAGTTTTTTCTACATGTTGTACTATGTGATAAAATGACATGTTTGACATTTCAAAGAACACATTTCCGTGAACTTACATTTCAAAATCCAAGATACTGTTAATGTCAGATTTGTTACAGTATGATTACTTTTGATATTTGTAACTTGATAATTGATGTACAGAGAATATTTTTTTATCTAGGGTTATAATCATCCTGCAATATGCTGCAGGGATCATTTGTTAAAAAAGCACCACAACAACATTTATCCAATTGCATGTGGTAGAATTTGCCTTGTGAAAAATTCTAGAGAAAAGTCCCCCCCCCCCCGTTTCTTATTTCAAACCATGTGATTTCTCCTCAAAATCCTGCCATGGACTAACCAAGGGTCTTCAAACTTGGCAAATTTAAGACTTGTAGACTTCAACTCCCAGAATTTCTGAGCTAACATGACTGGAGGAGGAATTCTGGGAGTTGAAGTCCACAAGTCTTAAACCTGTCAAGTTTGAAGACCCCTGGACTAGCCCATCTTTTCCACAAAAAAAGTTTTCTTTCCCTCCCTGAGTTGAATATAAGAGTGAAGATATAAAAACCATTGAAACCAAAATCTTGGTTTCAAAGGTTTTCTTCACTATTTTTAAAATTAAATAATGGTTCGCCTCAGGCTTTCCTATTCAAACAAATATTTTATTTCTTCTGGTTTATGAATTCTGATTGACTATGTGCCGTCAAGTCATTTTTCACTCCTAGTGACTGCATAGATATTCTCCGTGATGATCTGTCCTTCACCTGGCCAATACAGACTCAACTCTTTCAACAGTATATTCATCAGCACTGTACCTGAGTCCATCCACCCTGCTGCCGGCCATCCTCTTCTCTTTCCTTCCACGTTTCTCTGCCTTAGAGCCTTCTCCAGATAACTAGGTCCTTCCATAATATGTTAAGTAGGATAATTTGAGATAGGTCATTTGTGCCTCGAGTTGAATAGCAACCTCTCTCCTTGCATTATGACAGGTTATCAGTGAAGATTTTGAATTGTGATTTATTTTACAGCTTATCTTATATTACAGTTACTGTGCACTTTCAGTTATTAGAAGCAGAACTAGACTGAATGTCAATGCAGGTAGTCCTTGACTTAAACCTCAAAAGAGCCCAAAACACTTGTTAAGGGAATTTTATGACTTTCCTTACCACAGTTGTTAAATGAATCACTGCTGTTAAGTTAGTAACACAGTTGTTAAATGGATCTAGGTTCCCCATTGACTTTGCTTGTCAGAAGGTTACAAAAGGTAATCACATGGTCCCAGGATATTGCAACTGTCATAAATATGAATCAGTTGCCAAGCAATCTGAATTTTGATCACATGACTATGGGGATGCTGCAACAGTTACAAGTGTGAAAAACAGTCATAAGTCACTTTTTTCTGTACTGTTGTAACTTTGAACGTCACTAAATGAACTGTCATAAGTCAAGGACTACCTGTATACATAAAAATATAATTTTAAAGACATAAAAGTTATTTCCAATATCAGATTAGAACTTGCAACTAGAAGAAAATTACAATTACTACAGTTTTATTTTTTTTCATTAAGAGTTTTTTTCATTGGGAGCTGTTATCTCTGTGAAAAATAGAAAGTAAAGTACAATTGGAGATCAGAGTTGACAAGCAGATAGCAGATAATCAAAAAGGAATTTGGTTTTTCTCTTAAATGTTTGATTATCAATTGTGGTAGTTTTAAAAATACAGAGCCATTGTCATTGTTTAAAGAATTGATATTAACAAGACTTTATTAACAGTTGTGAATGGTGCACATCTCATTTTCAGGCAAAACAAATAAGGGTGTATTTTATGGGAAAAGATCACTTTTAGCATATATTTGAGGGGTTGAAAATTAGATCCCTGAAAGCCATTTTAAAAACTATAGGTATAGTGTTTATGTTTTTATGTTTGTGTACATTTTTAAGAAAATCCATGATATTCATACAACCCTCAAGGACTATGTTTTCTTGATTTGACATGGAATTACTTCTTTTCTTCAGGAGTAGTTTAAAGGAAGATCAGAGAGAACTTTGATTAATCTAAAATTATACTAAAGATACCATACAACATTTTCCCCAGGAATTTACTTTCTTTCCATATTGCCTAACTAAATAAATGCAGAATTTGGATATTTAATTAGTTTAACTACAGTGTATTCAAAGCTAGTACAGTTACTTGATCTCTTTATAAAAGTCAGAAAAAATAATAGGAAATCTTCAATGCAACAAATTTTGTACAAAATTTTACTATTTTTAAATTGCTAGATGGTAAAGAAATATCCCCCACCCATCACATAGCTCTTCATGTCAAAAACTTTTTAGGAGAGAATATGTGTCTGATACTTGTTTTGCATTTCTAGTTCTGAGACACCAGAAAGAAAATAAATATATTCAATAATGGTTTTCATTCCAGAGTGTATGTTCTGAATATTATGGCATTTTCTTGTCACGTTTTGTGCTGGTATCTTGTATTTGACAGTAAAACTACTGCATGTTAATATGGAAGCATACATATATCTTATTTCTCATTTTTTAACAATACTTTCTATTTTTATTCTTAGGTGAGAAACCATTTCGATGTGATGAATGTGGCATGAGATTCATACAGAAATATCACATGGAAAGACATAAGAGAACTCATAGTGGAGAGAAGCCTTATCAGTGTGAATATTGCTTTCAGGTAATTAGAGAAGGACAAAAGAAAGATACGGTGAAAATTGTTAGAACTGTTTGATTAATAAGACTCTCTAATTAATAAGACTGAGGGTAATTCATCTCTCTATTTGAGTAATAAGAGTGCATGTAATTCCCTCTGTACATCAGGGAAATAAATATAAGAAAAGTGATAAACTTGTACAGGTAGCATCGGTAGTCTTTGTTTAACATCCATTCAGTTACCGACTGTTCAAAATTTAAACTCTGCTGAATGAGGGGTATTTAAAAGGGATTCTTGTAGTTTTGGCCATCACAATATCCTCTGATCATGTGATTAACATTTGTGACCTTCATTGCCAGCTTTCCACAAGCAAAATCAATGGGGAAAAGGTTGGGAAGTCTCAAATGGCAATCACGGGACACCGCAATAGCATGGAGCTGCCATTGTAAATAGGCGTGGCCACATGTCACCCATTATGAATGTGTTGCTTAGTGACACGAGTTCCCAGTCCCAATTACCATTGGTAAGCAAGGACAAACTGTATTATAGTAGGTGATGTTAACATGTGTCTTGTAGAAGAGGAGCACATTTATTTATGTTATTTGCAAAACTTTTACTTGAATTTGGTTGAATTATTCAACAAGGAAAAAATATAAACCCTTAGGGAACCATATTTTTAGCTGCAGAAAAAACAAAAGCAGAGAAGCTGAGACAAATCAGCGCCGTTGAACAGAATTAGATGGTTGAATTTTGTAATAACTTAAATTGTTTTAACATAAATTCTGAGCCATATCTTTTGACATGGTAGGGTTTCACACTACAATTTCTGTCTGTAATGCCTTTCTGGGAATTTTTAAAATTATCACATTAGCAAAATGACTTATGAAGACCTTCCCATGTCAAAAAATAAATTGGCCAAAAGGTTGCTTTTCCCCCCTTCTCTAATCCAACCATGTTCCCCGTAGTTCTTCTCCAGGACTGATCGTGTACTGAAACACAAACGTATGTGCCATGAAAACCGTGACAAGAAACCCAATAGAAGTGCCACCAAAGTTGGCCTTTTGGCTCCTGATGAAGATCAAGGCTTCCCTCTATCTTTGAAAGACTGTTCTTTGCCAAAAAAGAAGAGGCAAAAAACAGAGAAATTGAAATCTGGGATGGATAAAGAAACTGGGATGGACAAGTCTGAACATAAGAAAGATAAGAATGATTTCTTGCCATTGTATGCTGGCAGTACTAAAATAAAGGATGAATATATGGTGGCGGAATATGCAGTTGAGATGCCCCATTCTTCTGTCACTGGAGGGCATTTACAGGAAGCAAATTCTGGAGAGATACACCCACCTAAACTAGTGCTCAAAAAAGTTAACAGCAAGAGAACCCTCAAGCAGCCACTAGAACAGAGTCAGACCATTTCATCCCTAGCTTCTTATGAAGACAGCAAGGTTTCAAAATATGCCTTCGATCTTGTGGATAAACAAGGCTTACTGGATGCTGAAGGCAACGCTGATATCGACCAAGTTGATTCTTTACAGGAAGGTCCCAGTAAACCCGTCCACAGCAGCACAAACTATGATGATGCAATGCAGTTTTTAAAGAAGAGGCGGTATCTCCAAGCAGCTAATAGTAACAGCAGAGAATATGCCTTGAATGTTGGCACTATTGCTTCACAGCCATCAGTCACTCAAGCAGCTGTTGCAAGTGTGATAGATGAAGGTAGCACAGCATCGATATTGGATACATCGGCACTGAATGTGGAGATTAAAGGAAACCATGACAAAAGTGTCATTCCAGATGAGGTACTTCAGACTCTTTTAGACCATTATTCCCATAAAGCCAACGGCCAGCATGAAATTGCTTTCAACGTGGCTGATACTGAAGTGACTTCCAGTATATCCATAAATTCTTCTGAAGTCTCAGAGGTTACACAAACGGAAAATGTTGGGACAAGTTCTCAAGGCTCATCCTCTGATAAAGCCAGTATGTTACAGGAATATTCCAAGTTTTTGCAGCAAGCTTTGGACAGGACAAGCCAAAATGATGCCTATTTGAACAACTCAAGCCTTAATTTTGTGAATGACAACCAGACTCTTACAGGACAACCAGCATTCTCTGCTATTGACAAACAGGTCTATGCATCTATACCTGTTAACAGTTTCCGATCGGGAATGAACTCTCCCCTGAGAACAACTCCGGACAAGTCTCACTTTGGACTTATAGTTGGCGATTCGCAGCACTCTTTTCCCTTTTCAGGTGATGAGCCAAATCACTCTTCATCGTCCTCCACCCAGGACTTCTTGGAACAAGTGACTTCTCAGAAGAAGGCAGAGGCACAGCCTGTCCATCAAGCGTATCAGATAGGCTCGTTTGAGCAACCCTTCAGGGCTCAGTATCATGGAACAAGAGCTGGATTATCATCTCAGTTTAATACTGCTAATGGACAAGTGAACCTGCGGGGGCCAGGGGCAAGTGCTGATTTCCCAGAATTTCCTTTGGTGAATGTAAATGATGCTCGGGCAGGGATGAACACATCACCTGATGCAACAACAGGCCAAACATTTGGCTAAGAAAACCTGTAGAAATAACATTGGCACTTTATCACAGGTCTGTTGAGAATGAGTGTCTTCTGTATAAGATGGCTTCTATACAGATTGAAGGCCTTGTGTTATAATGAAAAAGTAAGCTGGTACAGCATATTAATAATTTTTTAAATTAATTGTCATTCTTTTTGAATTGCCTTATAAGTGGGTGCCCACTGAAAAGGCAGGTGGCTGTTTCCTTTTTTTTTTTTTTTTTTTTTGAGATCAGGAATTTGCTGTGTTGAGATTGATTTTAAAAAAATGAAGCAAACCAAAAAAAAATATCCAGTTACGATATCTCTCCCGTAATAATTTCCTAGTTTGATTAACTATGATGATTTGGGAGAGAATGATCATTATGAAATTATTCATATTGCATTTCCTAATTAGTCCAGTTATTGCACTTCATCAGGGAATATGAATAAGCTGTACAAATCCAAAAGTTTAAATGTCAGGAGATTGTAGTTAGAAGCTACAAAACATTTGGGGAGGGGGGGGGGGAGAGAACAGGACTTATTTTTAAAAAAACTGTTAAATCCACATTACCACCCTTCTATTGATTTCCTTTAATACTCTTTAATGAAAATAATGTTTGCTAGACACATTTTCCTATTTAAATGTTTGATTAATTAAAAGTTATTTAAAAGCTAAGTCCCTCTTATTCATGCATTTAAATTTTCATTAATTTTTACCAGTGATGACAGTTAATGAGATGGTTAGATTTTAGCTTTGGAGTCTATGTTCCCAGTTTTGTAATGTTCCATAAATGATAAAACTCCAGGATTTAAAATTTAACTGTATTTCATCCTACAAATTTGCAATAATTAACATTAGAGCACTTAGATCCTTCCTCATATTTCTCCTTTAAAAAAAATTGAAAAAACTATTTTTGAGATTTAGGCTCACTATCCAGCATTATTTTCACCTCACATTATAGATTTTTTTTTTTAAAAAAAAATTAAAAATGAAAATAAAGGGGATGCCTTAACATCCACAAAATTAGATTTACTTACCCAGAAACTCTCGGCACTTCAGCTTGTTAGATACTATAAACTTTCTCTAAAGCAGTTATTCTTGCTGCATCTCTTAACCTGGATGAGCAATTTCACTGTACTTTTTTGCCAGCCAGGGCTGGTGAACAGTGTCAGTGACAGAAAGCTATACAGTCCCTATTTTAATATATTTCATATACAATAAAGTGTAAATGTTGTCCCTTTCCCAATTTCACTGTAAAGTTGTCCTCAGTTAAACAGTATGCTGCAACAATTCTATATACACTTTTTTAAATGGCATGGTTTTACTTAACATAAATGTTGGCATAATTTAACCATTTTTAAAACTGGAAAAAATGATTTTTATTCCGGTCTGTAATAGAATAAATATTTTATTCTTTTCATGAATTCTATTCTATGTATCCATTAATAGAAAACTATAAGTAGTATTACTGAAAAGCTGAGTGCTTCTCTTTCCCAAATGAAAATAATTCAGATAGGGGGGCACATATTATTTTAAGATATATTCCTTGCTATTGTCTCTCACAAAATCTAAAAATTTGGTTAAGAAAAAAAATCCAAAGTAATTGTGACTTTTAATTAAACATAGCTTGTTATCCCATTGGCAGTTTTCCTCTCTTCTGTATCAAGGTCATCATAGTATTTACCTAAGAGTTCTGGATGGCAAGATAAAGCTCTTTAAATCTACTTGTGAATCTTCGTAGATTCATAGTCTCAACATTCATTGTACATTCCTTTCAATTGCAATTCGGAAATTGCATCCCATTTTCCTCTACACAATGCCTACAAATTTAAATACCTTATTAAACAACCCGAATAATGATGCAGTTATACACAAATACTTCTAAACAATTAATCTTCTATTCTTCCATTTGCTAGTTGTATCTCTGCCCCAATAACATGTTAATTTTAACTGAGCATGTCCAGCACGATATCTCACTGTTCCCCTATTTATTTAGTTAACAATTGATTGTGTTCCAGTGAAGTAAGCAAGATGGGCAATTAAAACAATGTAGACATGTTCAGTAGCTGGAATAAAAAGCGAGGAAAGTTTGAAGCCATTTGCAGATAGCCAAGAGGAACCCAAGGTGTGTGGAGCCTGGGTCTTTAAGAAGATGTAGGTGTTTACTTCATATGAACAAACCTAATATGAAAAAATGAATATTGTAAAGGGAGGCAGAGAATGAACTCTAGCAGACATTTAAAATGCTTTATGTGCATGGCTATTTGATTATGATGGCTTCTTGAGATGAGATGCATTGATGCTATTCTATAGCATCCTTAAATCTGCAGCATTTCCTAATTGGAGAAGGGGGTGCTTTAGGAAGAAATGTTTAAACCCAAAACGGCATAGAAGTATGCATGAAATAGCTCATGTATTAGTAGAAGCGTTAGCTTTGGTGTTTGTCATCCTGTCCATAAAAATAACGTAAGATCCCAAATTACTTTTTACCTAAAAGCAGCTTTCTATATTAACTAAGATGAGGAAATTTTACAGGTCTATTTCATGCACACAGTACATTGTGAGATAGTACTACTAAAACTATATTTTGCTTGAATAAAGTTTTATTACATTTTGTTTAGGACATTTTAGCTAAGGTCCTAAAATCCTGTTAAACTCAACAGTATATTTACAGTTCGGGTTGACTATCCTTTGGTGTCACTTTTAAATGGAAATATACTGCTTAATTTTAAAAATTCTTATTTTCTCAGTCTTCAGTAGATCATATTTGGATATATGCTGGATCTCAGAGTCTTTCTTGAAAAAAATATTGTAAATGAAGGAATTGGGTTTTGATTTAGAGCTGAAATAGCTACCTTATCATTTTGGGGGGCTCAATGACTCAGGCTATATAATTTACCAAGAATGATTTATTTAAAGAGAAACAACATGATGAATTGCAGTGCACTACATGTTTGAAGAGCAGTTAGAATAATTTGTTTTTCATTTATGTTAGATCACCTTTCTTGCTTTTTCTGAAATCAGTCTAAAACTTTTAATATAGATTCCAAGGTAAAGCAGGTTGCCACAATATTTCAAGAGAACAAGCAGTGTGTCGAAACCTAAAACGTTTTTGTAATTTCTGTGGAATATCTGATAATTCCCAAGGTGGTTTTTCCCTTGTTTCTCTTGAGTGGTGTAAAGTCATGTAGTAGAACTAAAACGATGACTGTAACTTTAGCCAAGCATATTGCAGAGCATTTGTGTAAGTGCTGCAAATTAAGAGGCTGTGGACAAAATGAATGAAATACATTATAATGTCATATGCTTGCTTTTTTTCCTTATTTATTTTGTGACTTTAAAAGGGGATTCAAATCAATAGTGTGAATAATACATTTTAATGATAGTTTTTGGATTTTATTTCCATAGTTTTGGGATTAACTTCAGAAATAGCTCCACTTGGATGCATACAACATATGTTCCATGTTTCCTCAAATTATTTTTGATGATGTGTGTAATATGTTTCATTAATATTTGAAGAAGATCCATAGTGGATCCAAGATCAGCCTGCTTGAATATTTCAGTATTAACTTGCTTTGTATTTGTAAATTTGCAACCTAAAATTTTGTCGGGTGGAAATTCTTACTCAAGTTGCAGGGAGATATAGATATTAGAATTTAGTTCAGAAATTTAGAAAACAGAAATGTGTTTGTGATCTGGGTATTTCATTTGGTAAAACCTCATGTAATTTTTCCAATTGATGAAATTATTAATAAAAACTATGTTTATATTTTTTTAAATTCTGCTCAACAGAAGCCTTGCAACTTTTTGAAATGCTTTTAATTTCTGTTCATGCATGTTTTTTAGGTATGCAGGACTTTTAACTATTCTTTTTGCGTGCAAGGAGGATGTCCTGAGGAAGTATTACAATGAATGAAAAACAACATTATGTTAAATTTAGCTTCCATTATTTTTCAATTAATTTGTTTCAGGGAAGTTTTCTAATTGGTTTTGCTATACGTATAGAAATCACTGTTTTTCTTTTCAATTATAATTAAAAGAGAGAGAGAGAGAGTTCTTTTGGTAGTAGACACAAATTGAAGCAAGCAATTTTCTCAGAGTTGTTTCTTGCATTCTTTACCCCCAGTACATGGAAAAATAGAAATATGTAAATGTTTATTTTATTTTTTTATGCAATATTGTTCTGTAAATATGAGTTATTAAATAAGGATATACCTATGATTGAATCTTTTGATTCTGCACAGTTAAGAGTTTATATATAAAATATAAATGTGTCTTGACAATCAAGGACTTACTGTCAGTCTTCCTTTATGATGTTTTATTAATGTTATGCATTCCATTTGTTAGACTTGAGTACCAATGTGGGAATTTGTATTGTCTGTAAAGTATGTAATGTTTTTACAGCTTGTTTTTAAACTAAAAAGGAAAAAAAAAGAACCTTGTACATAAACAGATCATTGTACTGCTTTATATCAGGAGGCATATGATGTACTGTATGTAAGCAATAATGCCTAACCGTGCTAACTGTACAAGTAGCATAAGGATAGTTCCAAAAACTGTTTGGGGAAGTCAATAGTTTTGTTTAAGTTTTTAATCAATAAATCCGACATTTTTTTCTGTTTGAAGCATAATGTTGTTTACACAGCACAATCGGAGTTGCAGGAAGAACAGAGTTTAGATCTGTATTGCACCTGCCACACACATTCATTATGAAACTAATGGCTCAATTGCACTTCTGTAAGAGGATGAAGACTACCCCAATGCCAGTGTCAGTGTCCTGGAAGGAAGAAAAAAAGACTTTTCTCCCACACCATTTCTGTGCCGATTGAAAATACGAATATGCATCTCTATAAATCAGATTTGTGCAATACAAGGAGATAGTTCTGTTCATATTGTACACTGCAGTTGAGCATTGAGTCATGGTTTATTTTTATAAAATTGCTTTTTGCTATAGGAATTATTAGCTGATGAGATGAGCTTTATTTAATTCAAGTGAAAGAAATCAAAAAGTCAAACAGAAACTAAGTTTGAACTTTGGTTTCAAGCTGTACAGAGTTGAATAACAGAATTATTTGAACACTCATTTCAGTGGGGGAAAAGATTTATAAATGTAAATGACCTACATTTTATAGGAGGAAATGTTTTTAAATGCTAGTCATTTATATAATATGTGCTTTGAAGGATTTGCTAGTTCACTTCTGTCACTTTTAGTACACTGGTATCTTTTTATATGTAATGTATGCTTTTTATTGTAGCAAATCATTTCAGTAGAAGGAATTTTTGCAACAGTATTGGGGGAAAATTTGTTGTTGGAAACTATAATGGATTTTGTCTCCATAGTTTTGTCTTTATTTTAACAGTGTTGGGAAAAGAGTCCTGGTATTCAAATAAATCCAACTTTAATTTTAGAGGGCACTCAGTGAACCATGCTGTGTGATCTATAAATGTGTCCAGAAATAAGATTGGAAGAAAGCATAAAGTTTTATTGTACAGCCCATTAAAGAATGCTATGTTTGGACTGAAGGAAAGAACAGAATTCTACTGGAATGCATTTTCTGATACAGTATTTGTTTTCCTGAAACCATATGCATCCTTTAACTTTCAGTTCATAAAATCCCCTCTAATATCAATGAGTATCTATTTTAATGTTAACACAGTATTAGCATACAATAACAAATCTGTTTTACTGTTACTTATGATTTCATCAAAACCAATTAAATTCCCAGTTTGAATTTAAAAATTTAAAAATATGTATAAATAATACAGACCATTTTGTATAAACCTTGAATCTATACATTTGTGTAATTATTTTGTATTTGAAATAAATTAGGTAATGCAGGATTCCTGGAATATCAGGAATTTTGTGATGACTGTGTGTTTCTGTGGTGATTGTGCACATATGATGGGTTGCTTATTGGAAAAATGCAGGTTGTTGTAAGAAACAAAAGAAATATTAGTGAGCACATTTGCATAATAATTAAATTTTCCAAAACATAGATTGTGCAATTCTTGAACAAACTCCCACGTTTTCACGCAGTAATAGTCTCTCTCTCTCTCCCTCCCACTGTGTGTGTATGAGAAAATAAATTATCACACGTGTCATTTCATCCATGTAATTCACTCCTAATGTCATGCTTTCAGTTTTGCATCATTTGTTTGCCTTTTCTTTTTTTTTCTTTGTGCTTTAAACAAATAAAATAATAAGCATATTTTTAAAAAAAAGTTGATTCCTTAAATATGGCAACTGAAGAAATCAAAAAGAATGTTGCTCTTAGAACTGGATAGATACTATAGACAAATACTGCTTTGCTCTTTTTTCCATTAATCTTACCTCTGACCTCAGGTTAAGGTTCTATTACAGCCAAACCTTGTATTGTATTTTCAGTCAATTCCAACCAATAGTAGCAGACTATAATGAACTCTGTAAGTAGAATCCAACAGCAAGTACTTCCTGATAATTTGGCCAGAACTACCTGTAGGAATAGAGCAGGGGTGTCAAACTAGTGGCCCATGGGCTGGGTGTGTCATGTTCAGGCCATGCCCACCCCACTTCCGTGAATAGGGAGAACATCGCAAAACATCATGTGACGGCAATGTGACATGGTGAGTTTGACACCCAAGGAATAGAGGATTAGTACAGAAAAGATTTTACTCAAAAATCAAAATGAAATCTTTTTCTTTAAAATTAGGCTTTTTAAAAGAACATGCTTAAGGATTCTCAGATGGGGCATTGATGCGTCACTGCACCATCATTATGAACATTTTTCATTTTTTAAAAATGTTAGAAATTGTCTTCAGGTACATTGTAATAATTGTAGCATCCATGAAACTAGGTTATTTGGCATAAGGGTAAAATGATTTGAATGGAATATATGTGCAGGCAATAGAGTTTAATCATCCTTACTCTCTTACAAGCAGTATTGAAATCATCCAGGTTGCATCTCTCCGAAACAAATACTCATAACAGGCAGTATAGTACATTTATACAGGGGTACTATTAAGTCAGCATTTTCTGATTTGTGGGAGAAGCTAGAAGCTTCCTCAATGTCTCTTACATTATTCTAATTTTTGATGAGGTTATAAAGCTAAAGACAAATGTTACTGCCATGCAGAAGAATCTGTGTTTGAGATCAGGAGGATGGGATAAAAGCAGTGTTATGCCATAAACCAGTGATGTCCCCAAGGTAATTTAACATCCACTCTACGAGTCAAAAAAGCTAAACGGGGATGTATATTATCCCCTTTATTGTTTACATAAATTACTTGGCAAATTACCTAACAAATTTGGACTTTCATCCTCCTAAATTGAATGAGAAATTATTATAATTTATACAGACAATGTAGGTATAAACTATACTTCCATGTTGGGAGCACCAAAGCGCTGAAAGGATCAGCCAGTGGCATCACTGTTGCCTGGAGGACACCTAGTTGGGAGCATCTTTCATTATCGCTGAGGTGGTACCCATCTATCTACTTGCGGTCATCCATTTTCAAACTGCTGCATCACCAGGAGCTAGGCCATGTGATGGGAGCTCACCTTCGCTCATGGTAGCAACTGGGTTTTGAACGCAGAACTGCCAATTGTCAACCCAGTGTCCTAACCTCATAAGCCACCGTGTTCCTATGTTGTTATATTATTTAGGGCTAATATAGGTCTCGGAAGAGTATTGAAGGCTCTGGCATAAGTCTTCAAGAGAATAAATTGAAATTTACCTATCAAAAGATCAAAACCCTGAATTTTGCTAGGAGGGCATATCCAGTGCACAAATAAGCAATTAATTAGTGTCTGGGGATGGTTTTTCATATTCCTATATTGCCTAAAATACTCAAAGGAATGCATTTGCCATTAGAGTCTTCTAAACAAAAAAGTTATATATTATTTATAGTAAAAACACTGGGACAAATGTTCTGTAGTACATAGCTGTGTCTAGTCCACTGAGCAAATTGAAATTAAAATTTGAAGATCAAATCCAGGTGTCTCATCTTAGTCACTGGTGTTGGTAATAGTAGAGGCTGGACCAAAGACACCTATACTAAATGACTGGCTAAAACTATCATTTTCTCTCTGGGGACAGTTCATCTGCCTTTGGAGGACAGATTCAGTCTGTTTGAAAGCAATCCCTGATGATAAAATCAGGTTTCCTAGATCTCTCTTCCTCTTATCTGCCCTCCCTGTTGTGTTGAAATAATGAATATGGACACAGAGCACCAGTCTGACCTAAATAGGCTTTCAAATCTTACTGTTGAATACTATAGGTGCACAGTAGTACCTGTGGCACATCTTATCCAATTAGAAGTATGTAGATCTAGAAGTGTTACTAAAATTAGAAACCTCTACTGTTGCATGTGTGATATCCTCCCTTCAAGTTTATTTAAATTTCCTGGGGACTCTCATAACTATTTGTTAAACCATCTAGATAAATTTAGCTCTCTAAAAGTATTAAGTATTGCCGCATTATGTGTAAACTTCACCTACAATTGGTTGCTAATAGTTCTTGTTGTTAGGGGAGAGTTCTGCATTGTTTTGTTTTATTGAATGTACTTTTATTGGTCAATGACCAAAATAAAGTTTCTGTCACTTTAACTGATTTAGAGGGGAAATAAAACATTATGTATCTGGGACATGGAGGTTCCTGCAATCTGGATCTGTTAAATTTCCTGAACATGGTTTTCAGTGTTAATTGAGGAGGAAATATGAAATGCTACTATCTCCCCATATAGCTCAAGCCTCTCTTTGTTTATTAGAGCTAGACTATGATCCCATAACAACATATACAGTTGCTATATTTTGCACTGCAGCATGTATAATGTCCAGGAACTGACTTCCACTTTTCAGTGGAAAATCATGATGACATAGATGATCTAACTTTTAATATTTCATTGATATCAATATTCACTGTATTTATATAAATTAATATTCTGATTCCTAGAAAGACTTCAAAGTTTAAATATTCAGTTATAGCCTAGTATGGCTAAGCTTTAGATACTTAACTGTATTTCACAGCTTAGCTTGCTTCTGCATAGTTTCTATACCATACTTTTTCATTGTTATATTAATATTTTAAAAAATATCTTATTTTGCATGTTCTCTTACTGGTAGTCTTAATATTATTTAACCACAGCATGCATTTAATACTAATGTTAATATTTTAGTTCTTTTTACTAAGTTATATTCTAGATGATAAGGTTACAAATGACATTGATCACTCCTTCTTGCTCAAGATAGGACTTCAAAAACTATATTTTATGTATGGAAGATTTATCTTTTTCAATCAGACATTACAAAACAAGGATTGTTTAGGGTAACAGTTATAAACACAGATGTCCCAATGGTGCTTTTTTCGAAAAGCAACTGGACTTTCTTGGGTTTTTTAAAATTTCAAAACATTTCGCTTCTCATCCAAGAAGCGCCTTCAGTTCTGACTGTGGGGAAT